AGAAAACAGTTTCTCAAGAAGTTAAATGTAAGACTACCATTTGACCCATATGACCCAGGAATTATAATTCCTAGGTACATGTCCAAAGGAACTGGAAGCAGAGATCCAAATAGGTATCTGCAGACCAATGTTCATAGGAGCATTATTCACAGTAGCCAAAAGGGAGAAAGACCAATGTTCATAGCAGCGTTATTCACAGTAGCCAAAAGGGAGAAAGAGTCATCTGCCTATTAGCAGATGAATGTATAAACAAAATGTGGCATATACACAATTGAATGCTGTTCAATTCATACAAAATAAGGAAATTTTGTCAACATGGATGACACTTGAAAACATACTCACTGAAATAAGCCAGACACAAAAGGTCAAATATTGCATGATTCCGCTTAAGTTACATATAATAGTCAAATTCAGAGACAGAAACCAGAATAGCAGTTGCCAGGGGCTAGTAGAAGAATGGAGAGGTATTGTTTTTAATTGTTACATAGTTTATGCTAAAGATGATATAAATTAAAAATTTTGGAATAGGCAGTGGTAATGGGTATACCACTGTCTTGTGAGTGTATTTAATGCCACTGTGTTACACATTCACAAATGGTTAAAAAGATAAATATTATGTTATGCATATTATTTATTATGCAATATATTTATTATATATGCATATATATTATGCATAAATATATTTTATGTTATGCATATGCAAGAGATGATTCTTTAAGAATATATTTTAAAATAGCCAAAATGGCCAAGAAAATAAAAGATAAATCAGCAATGAATTAAGAATGAAAATAACCAATAATACTAAGGATATTTAATATCATAAAGGAATAAATATAAGAACAGATATAGGCTAATAAATTTTAGACACTGGAAAATACAAAATTAGAAAAGCTGGTAGAAGAAGAAATAGGAAGCTTAAAGAGACCAATAAACATTAAAGAAATAAAAATACATCAAATACCAGTCTCTAAAAAATTCTCGACGTATTGATAGTTTGATTTGTGAGATATAATAAAGTTTCAAGGAAAACATTCTTAAATACCTTCACAAGCTCAGAAAAAGATTCAGAAATATGAGGGAAAGCTCACATAAACATGTGTACACCCAAGCGTGCACATGCACACACATACACCCAAGTGTGCTAATGCAAACGCGCACATGCACCCAGACACATACAACCCAGCTCACCAATGGATGGGTCCTGAAGGACAAAGCTCTCCAGTAATAACCAATCTTTATTTAGATGCTTCAGCACTAAACTTATTTAGATGCTTCAGTACACATCCACTAACTTTCCCAAGTCTTCCTTATCTTCAGATGTTACAAGTTTCAATGCATCTCTTTTCTCAGCCCAGCTATGGGATTTGTTGGGGGAAAAAAAAATGAGAAAGTAAAAATAATTAATTCAAAATTAAGATATTTTATTTTATAATAAATTTTAAAAGCACATCTCAAATATTCTGACTTTATTATGTACCAGGGCCTAGAATAAGGAATTAAAAACATTGTCCATTAATCTTCCCAACTATCAATACTAATCAAGTATGAACACCCTCCCCGCCTCCAACTTTACAGATAAAACCAGCTCAGAGAAGTTAAGTTATATGACTTCCCAAAGTCATACAACTGGTAAATAATAGAGTTATGATATAATCCCAGGTAGGTAAACCCCCAAAACCAATGCTTTTAATGACTAAGCTATCATTGCCTCACAGATCAGTAAACTCATCACTAATATCTAGTTGATCAGGTTGGAAAGAAGGTAAGTACATCCACACACTGTCAGCTACATGTAATCTTTCTGAAAGAACACCACAAGTCCAGATTCTAGCAATTTTATTCCTATGGCTTTCCCTCCAGGAAAAAAAAAAGTGTGCAAAGATGTTTTAACAAATTGTTCACTGAAGCATTTTCTAAATATTTAAAATGTTCAAGAAAAGAAAATTTATTAAATTATGACATACATACTTAATAAAATATGGCAACATTAAAATAATGATGAAACCCATATTCACTAACAGAAAGGCAACAGCTACCAAGTCATATTCTAAAAAAATATTACAATCCAATTTTGGTCAAAACTTAATTTAACTAAATTTGGTTAAAAGAAGTAGATATTTTTGTACACAAAATTTTTTTAAAAAGTCTGTACAAAGACATCATGATTGTCTCCAATGAGTAGATTATGAATGCTTTCTACTGTCTTTATTCCTACAACTGTCATGTTGTTGCCAACTCTGCTGTCATGCTTGTAATCCCCTTCCAGCTTCCTAAAAAAATAACTCAGTTCAGGCATCCACCCTCTTCCACAGAGCAATTTGCTTCAAAGAATTCTAGGGCCATCAATTGATCATGTACTGAGCAGTCCAAGGCTCTAAGCTAATCATAGTGGTGCTGTTCCGCTGGCCAGTCATTTGTTTCGTAATGGGCAAGTAATGCAATTTAGGTCAAGACATATGCTTACTGAGAGACATCAGAAAAGGTTTGTTCAATGTTATAAATAAAAGTAAACAATAACTCTTTAGCTGTATATTGTGCTATGTCTAAATGTGACACCTAAAACTATTAAAGACATCTTGGTTGAAGATAGTTAATCTGAAGAGAAGCAGATATGTTAAAGGAAGCAGAGAGAAAAGAAAAACATCCTGAGTTCATAACATTGTTGAGCCTCAATAAACTAGCCCTAAAATTGCCTGAACTTGGGATTTCTTTTTACATGTGACATTGCATCTTTTTGTTTAAGTTATTACCTTCTACCAAAAGCATCTCTAATTTAAAATATTTCTGAATAGTCCTCATTTTGTTTGTAATGTGAACGTATGGTTTTTTCATCTATACTTAGAAATATGGGATGCTTTGGTGGCTCAGTCAGTTAAGCATCCGACTTCGGCTCAGGTCATTATCTCACAGTTTGTGAGTTTAAGCCCTGCATTGGTCTCTGCATTGACAATGTGGAGCCTGCTTGGGATTCTCTCTCTCTCTCTCTCTCTCTCTCTCTCTCTCTCTGCCCCCCAAACCATTAGCATTCTGTCTTTCAAAATAAATAAATAAACTTGAAAAAATATATAATTGTTAATACAGCCAGGAGAGGTGTCTGGGTGGCTCGGTTGGTTGAGCGTTCAACTCTTGATTTTGACTCAGGTTAGAATTTCAGGGTCATGGGGTCGGGACCTGCGTCAGGCTCTGCTGGAACCTTCTTGGAATTCTCTTCCTCCTGTTCTACGTGCCCCCTCCCTGAGCTCTCACCGTCTCTAAAAAGAAAAGAAAAAAGAAAAGAAAAGGAAAAGAAAAGAGGAAAGAAAAGAAAGCAAGCCAGGATACTACCAACGGGTCTCAATAGGTCAGGCAGCTGACTATACATTGTGGGAAGAGTACCAGTAACTGGGCATTCAAGTTGTAAGCAGAACCCTAGGGAAGCAACAAGCAGACACAGAGCCTGCACTGGAGTCTGGTCTTCTTCAGCCAGCTGAAGAGGTGAGCATTCTTAATAAAGTAACAGTCCCTTTCTACTCCAACCTCAAGAACCCTGGATTCATGCCCTAACTGTCCAGGTACCACTCAAGACCCCAAGGAGAATACATGGAACAGCTGACAATTAGGAAAGTCCAATACAAGACACAGTAAAATGACTAATTTCAAAGTAAGCATGTGAACTTTCAAGTCCACATTTTTTGAGCATGAACTAGGAAGTGGGACAGCATTCTAAATCTTATCAAGGCTTGTGAGCAGCCTAGATTTTAAATGGACCCTAAAAATAGACAACTGGAAAAATAAGTGAAAACATAGGTTTCTAGGTAGAAGCTGTATGAAGACAGTTTCAAAGCAGAGACTACTAGGGAAAAACTGATGAGATCAGACTGGCTGAAACAAAGGGTGGGTGTAGGGAAGCAAGGGGATTTAAAGCTCCAAGTGACTAGAGACCACATGAAGAGATAACAGCATTCAACCTGCCCTATCAACTCTTCGTTAGGCTGATGAGATGAAAGATGAGACGGGTAGAAGCCAATCAGGGGCGAATGTAGGAACTAAAGTAACAGTGATTACTATATTTTTTTGGCAGAAGTAAGTTTTTGCATTACATCTTTAAGAATTATACGTCTACTCATGTTTTCAGATTTGGTAATTTATATTTTTCTAAGATATTTCATTTAACTTTTTAAAATTATTAGATACAGTTGTTCATAAAATCCTCTATTAATTAAAAAAATTAGAGTTGTGATAAAATACATATAAAATTTACCATCTTAACCATTTTGAAGTGTGCAGTTCATTAAAGTTACCTATGTTCACACTGATGTGCAACCAATCTCCAGAATTTTACATCTTATAAAACTGAAACTACATCCATTGAACAAGAACTCCCCATTTTCCTCTCTCCTGCTGGCCCCTGGCAACCACCATTCAACTTTCTGTATTTATGAATCTCACTATTCTAGATACCTCACATAAGTGGAATCATACAATATAAATCTTTTAATGATAATCTAGATGCAACCTCAGGTTTTGATATATAATATTTTTGTTATATTCATTCCACTATATTCCTAATTTCTATGATAAATATTTCCTAATTTCTATGATGATATTATTACTGTATAATTAGCTACTTATTTGAATATTTAAATTTTTATTTTTTATTTTTGTTTGCATTTTATCATTTTTTAAATATGAAATTTATTGGCAAATTGGTTTCCATACAACACCCAGTGCTCATCCCAACAGGTGCCCTCCTCAGTGCCCATCACCCATTTTCCCCTCCCTTCCATGTCCCATCAACCCTCAGTTTATTCTCAGTTTTTAAGAGTCTCTAATGGTTTGCCTCCTTCCCTCTCTGTAAGTTTTTTTCCCCTTTAACCTCCCCCATGGTCTTCTGTTAAGTTTCTCAGAATCCACATAAGAGTCAAAACATATGGTATCTGGCCTTCTCTGTATGACTTATTTCACTTAGCATAACACTCTCCAGTTCCATCCATGTTGCTACAAAAGGCCATAGTTCGAAGCTGGAAGCAGGGGAAGCTCAAGAAGGCTCCTGGCTGCCTCGCGGCCGAGTGTGCTTATTGGACCATGTGCTGCTATGTATGCCTGGAGTACTTGAAATGCAAATTTGGAGAGACTTTGCCATCTAAATGCTTGGCTGGATTAAGCGCCTAATTAGGATGGTTTTTCAACAGGTTGGAGTAAGCATGCAATCGGTACTTTGGTCTGGGAAGCCATATGGTTCATCTCGAAGTATCGTAAGGAAAATTGGTACTAATTTATCTCTGATCCAGTGTCCAAGAGTTCAGTTTCAGCTTACCAGCCCTGCAACAGAATGGAGCCCTAGCCATCCAGGAGAGGATGCAGTGGTGTCTTTTGCTGATGTTGGATGGGTAGCCAACGAAGAAGAAGAGTGTTCAACAAGACGAAGGACAGAGGTCAGATCAAGGCAGCCCCTTCAGGATGGCCTGCCTTTCTTTGAGAAGCCGCCAAGCAGGGAGCTTTCCTTACCAAACCTGTCTCCAGAAGAGCCTCAACTGAAGACAGCACTGGCAAATGAGGAAGCACTACAGAAGATCTGTGCCCTTGAAAATGAACTTGCTGCTCTCCGAGCTCAGATTGCCAAAATTGTGACCCTGCAAGAACAGCAAAATCTCATTGCAGGTGATTCAGATTCGACCACATCCGTTACTGCGGCCCCACCCTCTGTCCCACCACCTCCCCCGCCCCCACCTCCTCCGCCCCTCCCCACACCAGGGCTCCACCAAAGTGTATCTGCTATTGACCTGATAAAAGAACGAAGAGAGAAAAAAGCCTGTGCTGGAAAGACTCAGGTTAAGAGCAGGCCAAAGAAACCGGATATGCCAAATATGCTAGAGATCCTTAAAGATATGAACAGTGTAAAACTTCGGTCAGTAAAAAGGTCAGAACAGGATCTAAAGCCCAAACCTGTGGATGCTACCGACCCTGCTGCCCTCATAGCAGAGGCTCTGAAAAAGAAATTTGCCTTTCGATACCGAAGTGATAGTCAAGGTGAAGTTGAAAAAGGAATTCCAAAGTCTGAATCAGAGGCCACCTCAGAAACAGTGTTGTTTGGGCCGCACATGTTGAAGTCTACAGGAAAAATGAAGGCTTTGATTGAAAATGTTTCAACTTAATAATAGCTGAAGAAAAACTATCCTTGTTCCAGCTGTTGGTTTGTTAGGGCTATTTGGCTAGTAGAAATCAACACTAGTTAGTAAATACCTGAATTTAGTATTCAGTAGTCTCCTTTAGGTCTAATAAAAAAGCACTCTAAGTCTGTGTTTGTTTTTATGAGAAGGTTCTGAAGTTTTCCATAACAGGTTTTTAATGTGTAGCCAGGATGTTAAGGTTTCTAGTCTTAACAATTATATAGATTTCAGAGGAAAGGACATTGTAGATGTAGAGTTTTTAATTTTTGACACTAGTTTATCTGTGCAAATGTTCTATATGCATATATTTGGGTATAAAATAGTACGTAAAATGTAATAATGACGTCAGTGAAGCTGTCAGTGATTTATTACTCAGTGATGGAACAGCTGGTATAACACACAGTTGCTCGAGTGAAAAATTTGGGATTGGAACCTTTTTGCCTTGAATAGGACTTTAGGACTTTTACCCTAGATCCCCTCTCACATTTCTTTAGAGATGGGGGTTCAAGTAGGAACCAGATAATGTTTACTGCTGAAAGTTCCATAATGCTTTCATTTAAAGGAAAGTCAAAGACCACAAAAGTGCTTTCACTCCAGTGCTGAGAAAGAAAATGTAGTTTTTAGATAGAAATCAAATTATTGAATCAAATCTATAACAGGTGAAAACCAGAATGTACCATCTTTCTATTCCAGTTTAATAAAGGCATCATAAAGATGGCTTGTTACTAAGTTAATATGTAATATAAATGGCAGCATAATGGAGTTGAAATTTTTTAAAATATTGGTCGAATGTAGTAGCTTTATAATGAAACACTTAATAGGTGAAAGAATTTCCTGTAAGTTATCATTGGTCTGCTATTCTGTTGAATTACACCATGCAGCAACCCTTAGGTGCTCATAGGAGAAAAGCCGTTCTTGTGGAGGGCTTCCGAGGAATGCTGTACATGCTCATTTGGGAATGCTCAATAAAACTTTATGGTTTTCTATATTTCTGCTAAACTCAGCTGTAGTTAACGCAGAATCTTCTACCATGAGTAAATACTTGGATTTATTTAAATCTAGTAAAAAGTGGAGATGGGAAGAGTAGACCTTTAAGTTATTGAAAATATGTGCAATGTTCTCAATATTAGGAAATGTTATTCAGCTTAAATTTGAACTGTGGCTTATTTTACACGTTTGTTGATTTACATTACATTGTTTCTAATTGTTTCATATGATTTAAAAATTCTGCCTTTAAAAGAAATTGAGAAAATTTGCCTAAATTATATATTTTGACCTTCTAAGCAATTTATATTTGTATCAGTATTGAATTTTGGCCAGTGCTCCAACTGAAGGAAGTTACTGTATTGAAATAAAGCAAATTTGTATTTTCCTTGGACCATAAAAAAAAAAACAAAAAACAAACAAACAAAAAAAAAAAACAAAAGGCCATAGTTCATTCTTTCTCATTGCCAAGTAGTATTCCATTGTGTATATAAACCACAATTTCTTTATCCATTCATCAGTTGGTGGACATTTAGGCTCTTTACATATTTTGGCTATTGTTGAAAGCTCTGCTATAAACATGGGGTACAAGTGCCCCTAGGCATCAGCACTCCCTTATCCCTTGGGTAAATTCCTAGCAGTGCCATTCCTGGGTCATAGGGTAGGTCTATTTTTAATTTTTTGAGGAACCTCCACAGTTTCCCAGAGCGGCTGCACCAGTTTGCATTCCCACCAATAGTGCAAGAGGGTTCCTATTTCTCCACATCCTCGCCAGCATCTATAGTCTCCTGATTTGTTCATTTTAGCCACTCTGACTGGCATGAATGTGGTATCTCAGTGTGGTTTTGATTTGTATTTCCCTGATGAGGAGCAACGTTAAGCATCTTTTCATGTGCCTGTTAGCCATCTGGGTGTCTTCTTTAGAAAAGTGTCTATTCATGTCTTCTGCCTATTTCTTCACTGGATTATTTGTTTTTCGGGTGTGGAGTTTGGTGAGCTCTTTATAGATTTTCGATACTAGCCCTTTGTCCGATATGTCATTTGTAAATATCTTTTCCCATTCTGTTGGTTGTCTTTTAGTTTTGTTGTTTCCTTTGCAGTGCAGAAGTTTTTTATCTTCGTGAGGTCCCAGTAGTTCATTTTTGCTTTTAATTCCCTTGCCTTTGGGGATGTGTCAAGTAAGAAATTGCTGCGGCTGAGGTCAGAGAGGTTTTTTCCCGCTTTCTCCTCTAGGGTTTTGATGGTATCCTGTCTCACATTCAGGTCCTTTATCCATTTTGAGTTTTTGTGAGTGATGTAAGAAAGTGGTCTAGTTTCATCCTTCTGCATGTTGCTGTCCAGTTCTCCCAGCACCATTTGTTAAAGAGACAAATGTCTTTTGTCCACTGGATATTCTTTCCTGCTTTGTCAAAGATTAGTTGGCCATACTTTTGTGGGTCCAATTCTGGAGTCTCTATTCAATTCCATTGGTCTATGTGTCTGTTTTTGTGCCAATACATGCTATCTTAATGGTTACAGCTTTGTAGTAGAGGCTAAAGTCTGGGATTGTGATGCCTCCCACTTTGGTCTTCTTCTTCAATATTACTTTGGCTATCCAGGGTCTTTTGTGGTTCCATACAAATTTTAGGATTGCTTGTTCTAGCTTCAAGAAGAATGCTGGTGCAATTCTGATTGGGATTGCATTGAATGTGTAGATAGCTTTGGGTAGTATTGACATTTTAACAATATTTATTCTTCCAATCCATGAGCATGGAATGTTCCATTTCTTTGTATCTTCTTCAATTTCCTTCATCAGCTTTCTATAGTTTTCAGCATACAGATCTTTTACATCTTTGGTTAGGTTTATTCCTAGGTATTTTATGCTTCTTGGTTCCATTGTGATTGGGATCAGTTTCTTTATTTGTCTTTCTGTTGCTTCATTATTAGTGTATAGGAATGCAACTGATTTCTGTACGTTGATTTTGTATCCTGCGACTTTGCTGAATTCATGTGTCAGTTCTAGCAGACTTTTGGTGGAGTCTATCAGATTTTCCATGTATCTGCAAAAAGTGATACATGTCATGTCATGTACATACATTTTCATGTCATCTGCAAAAAGTGAAAGCTTGACTTCATCTTTACCAATTTTGATGCCTTTGATTTCCTTTTGTTTGACTGCTGATGCTAGAACTTCCAACACTATGTTAAACAACAGCGGTGAGAGTGGACATCCCTGTCGTGTTCCTGATCTCAGGGGGAAAGCTCTCAGTTTTTCCCCATTGAGGATGATATTAGCTGTGGGCTTTTCATAAACGGCTTTTATGATGTTTAAGTATGTTCCTTCTGTCCCGACTTTCTCGACGGTTTTTATTAAGAAATGGTGCTGAATTTTGTCAAATGCTTTTTCTGCATCAGTTGACAGGATCATATGGTTATTTTTTCTTTTATTAATGTGATGTATCACATTGATTGATTTGCGAATGTTGAACCAGCCCTGTAGCCCAGGAATGAATCCCACTTGATCATGGTGAATAATTCTTTTTATATGCTGTTGAATTCGATTTGCTAGTATCTTGTTGAGAATTTTTGCATCCATATTCATCAGGGATATTGGCCTGTAGTTCTCTTTTTTTACTGGGTCTCTGTCTGGTTTAGGAATCAAAGTAATGCTGGCTTTATAGAATGAGTCTGGAAGTTTTCCTTCCCTTTCTATTTTTTGGAACAGCTTGAGAAGGATAGGTATTATCTCTGCTTAAAATGCCTGGTAGACTTCCCCAGGGAAGCCATCTGGTCCTGGACTCTTATTTGTTGGGAGATTTTTGATAACTGATTCAATTTCTTCACTGGTTATGGTCTATTTGAGTTTTCTATTTCTTCCTGCTTGAGTTTTGGAAGTGTGTGGGTGTTTAGGAATTTGTCCATTTCTCCCAGGTTGTCCAGAGACTAGGTATTTTGAGAACATCATCGAAGTAAAATAGCTCTTGAGCCCCACTGAAAATGACCTTACCAAATTCTCCTGACCATTGACACTGATGCATTAGAGCATTGAGCCCTATGACTGTGGGAGCATTGAGCCTTCGATAATCATCTCACAGCTGAGGAGTCTCCACCTGACATCTAGTGTGTAGAGATGCTGGAGACCTCCAAATCACATAGACAAGGGAGAGGAGAAGCTGACATCAAGGTAGACTGCTTCTGCCATAGATGCCAGAACAACATTTCATACTTCAATTAAACAGAATCTTTTCTTGTCTTCCTTTCCTTTACTCTGTAATTGGCCTGGAAATTTGTGTCTCCCAGACCATTGCTAAGGGGGTAACCTTCCAGCCTATTGGATTTGTCATCAAAAATTTTTATCTGTCCATGGTGCTAAAGACCCCCCTGGTCCACCCTGTGATGAATTTCTTTTCCTAATGTCACCATAAACTATAGTCGAACCCCATTAGTAGTCTCTTACCAAGTTCACCTTTGATGGTCAGAACAACCTGTGCTTTATTTTACCTTTCTTCAGTTATAACTGTATGCACCCAATTAGAGACAACTCCTTATATAAATCTTAGTACACTTGCACCCCATTTTCTCAGGATTATCTATATCAGATTTGCCACAACTCTCTAAGAGCTGTCACCAGCACCACCTATCTTTGCAAGGTATTGAGAATGACTCATTCTTTCAGGCTAGATTTTCTCCACATATGCACTGAAAACCTGATCTCTTGCTTGAATAGATAAACACAGAAATCCTACCACCCTAATGGGAATGATTTGTGCCCTGACAGGGTTTGTCTATGTCTATGGTGGTTATTATTCTTGGGTCTATGAATGCCTCGGTTGTGGGAACATAGCTGAGCAATGCTTCTTAGGTTATCTAACTAACTTTTCACAAAGAAACTTTTCACAAGGAAACTAGACATCTCAATGACCAACTTTCCTGGATTTACATTGTCAAATTAGAAAGGAACTACCAGGAGGCATTCATGATTAAGGATTTGTTTCCTTTGACAGGGCCGTGTTCCCTGGTTAGGAGTAAGTGAAAATGAAAATATGATCAAAACTCTCTCCTTGGGTACCTGGGTGGCTCAGTCGGTTAAGCATGCAACTCTTGATATTGGCTCAGGTCAGGATCTTGTAATCATGAGATCAAGCCTCAAGTTGGGCTGTGCACTGA